TTTTTTTTTTTTTTTTTTTTTTTTTTTTTTGGTCTTTGGTTCTACATTATGCACCGACACTTTATAAAATGCATGAAAATCTTACTTTCCTTAAGAGCCCAAGCCAAGGTTGTGCAACACCTCCCTGAATTCCCTGACGCTCCGTTTAAATCGAAAAGAGCAAACAGCCTGAGTTAGGAAACGCGCGCTGAGCGCTGCAAGCCGTGCGGTTGTGCAAGTCTGCTGCGGTAGCACCGCTGCCCGCCAGCTTCCACAACTAAACAGCAGGAAAAAGCAATCCCTGTAACGCTGCGTGAGGGGCGCTGATACACCCTGGGGGTTGTACCAAAGGTTTTCTCATTGTACCTTTAGAGCAGGGACCTCCGAAGGTGAAATCTTTTCTCTTTGCCCACGTCATCTGGTCAGGAAGCCGTGAGGTTATTTCTGGCAGACCTCAGTTTTCCTTGAGAGCTTTCCTGTCACTTCTAAGTCACCTCAAGTCCTACTGGAAAAATTGTAGAATAATCCAAGTCTTGAGCAGGCTTTAATCTTGCTCAGTTCTGTCTTAAACAAGTGTGACATTTTGAGGGCATGCAGTATTTTTCTGATGCAGCTACATGTGCTACTACATTTCACGTATAGCGTGTGTGCTACGGAGCAAGCTCAAAACCTTTAGCTGAAAGAAGTATTCTATTATTCTAAGAAAATTCCTCACGTTCTGCTGCTGAGCCAGGCCTGCACCACACAAGCGTCTGCTCTTATGCGCAATGAAACCCAATGCGAGAAGCTGAATCTGTTGCCCGGTGCAGGCAACACGCGCCATCCTCCTTCGCAGCCTCTCACCAACGACTTTTGGTGTGCGATTGGCAGCGGTGCCTCCGCGGGCAGCACAGCCAGGGACTTCAGTCGCTTGCCAAGGTCTGTGGATGTGATCCAAGATGCCGTTTACAAAAGATCTGTTGTCTTGATTCTAAAAATGGCCTGTGTTATCTGCCCTTCCAAAGGGATCTAGGAGGGATTTTTCTTGCTTGGGTTCAGGTCTGAAGACAATAACTAAGCCCCCGACCCAATCATCTGATTTTTAGCATGTGGGAAGGAAAGGTCTTTAGGTTTCTACTGGTCAGACTAAAACCTTTCCATGCCAAGCGATTGATGTTTCTGATGTTTTCTTAAAACCTGGATTCCACCATAAATCAAATCTAGCCAACCCTAAAGCACAAACCAGCCACTTTTGTTACTATTGTCTCTTCTCTCTATTTCTGTCCTGAAGCATTATATCTCAGATGAGCCTCTTCTGCAGCAGCAGTCGAACAGGGCTGCAGCCGTCTCGGTCTGGATCGATGGACGGCAGCTGCTGCATCTGTCGAGAACACTGATGTGTGTATGGGCTCATGGCCATTATTTGCCTAAAACAGTTAGAAATGACAAGTGTATGTGTGAAAGTTATGAAGCTTTTTTTTTTACCAGAATATATTCCGTACACCGGTCTCTCCTCCCCGGTCGGTATGGCTGCTGACCATGTGGAGGGATTGCGTGTGTGTGTGTGTGAGTAGAAATGAATGGGGAACAGACCCTGCTCTCGGCAGAAGAGGGTTTCTGCCATAGCGAGGAAAGGAGCAGCTGCCCCTTTCCTTACAGATGCTGCTCTTCCATTATTGGGGCTTCTGAAAAAAAGATTGATTTAGTAAAGGTAGGTCTGATACTTACACATCCTTGATCAAGTCTTGATGCTGGTGCACAGCTGTTAGGAAACTCCAGGATAGTAATAAATAAGGTCACATGGGTTAAAATATAATTTTCATTTTGCTTGGATCGAAGCTTGTTGCTACGATGCTGCAAGTATTTCAGTATTCTGTGGTTTTGGGAAACCATGAAGACTGTCTTTTTATTCCCTGCTTTTTGTTCAGGTGATGATACTGTATTAAGTGATTTCTGTCTTTCTGTTGACCTCTGAAGCTGTTTGTGAGAACCTTTAAAAAAGAAAAAACAAACACACACAAGGTAAATGGAAGGCATAATTCCACTGAGAAGCTGTATCTCCTACAGGAGCTGATACTGGTATGCCTAAGCTGTCCTCTGGGGGCTTTACTGGGTGGATTCTGCATATGGTTCAATTCCACAAAGACACTGTCACCAGAGAGACATGGGAACGCCAGGCTGCTCGTGATGGCTTGTCACGCAGGCTCTCAAGCAACCAGCCATCCCAAACCCTTGCTATGTTCATTAAGTTTTGGTTGCGCTAAGTTTTAGTGGTTTGTGTACTTTGTGTCTCTGGTGCATTTATCTACGTAAGAATTGGTTGGGTGATATTTTCCCCATCCTTACAGGGCAACAGACAAGCGGAGGAGGACTGCCTGGAGCCGCACAGCCGGCAGGTTAGTGTGGGACTCCTACTCAGCCTCCCAGATCACACTGTCTAGCTAGCTCTTGTTTTTTGACTTTCAGTTTATCCATTTGGATTTTAAGTGCTCCCTCAGAGCTGTTACATACCAGATTGGACTTTTTTAGAGGTAAATACAGAGACTGGGGAGAAAAGAGATGAAAAGCAAGATGGTTATGAGTGTATGAGAACTCCCACAGGACATGTGATTGCATTTTAGCAGCTTGAAAATAGGCTTATGTGGGACAAATCCTCCTTCCGCAGGCAGACTGTGGCACCTGTCTGTGGCAAAGCCGATCTCATCAGCAATTGCGTCTCGTGTCCCTTTTCCATACCTCCTTCGGGTTTGTGTATGCCAGAGTTCTGGCTGGAGTGAACAGGCTGCCAGTCGCTCTGGTTAGCAAACACGCCTGCTACAGGTTGGTCTGCATTTTTGCTGCAGAAGGCAAGTGTGTGTGGCTCTGCGAGGGTGGGCCCAAAGGCAAACCACAAGTATGGTTTGAGCATCCAGATTGCTATGTAAAGACACAGTAATTAATGCCAGCTGACGTAGGCCAACAAAGGGCTGTCTTCTCCTTCCTTACTATTGCCTTATGCTATAGTAACTTCTCTTGCTGCTGTTTTTCCTACTCCCATGTCTCTTCCGAGACAGCAGTTCAACCTGCCCAGCTCCTCTAGCTCCACCACTGGTCACGTCTTCACCTGCTGATCCTTTTGCAAAAATACCAAGTGCAGACGGCTCTACTTGAGCAGGAAAATGCTTTTCCTGCTTGGTGCCAATATGATGCTGGCTATGCAAGTACCTCTCATGTGTCATTCTTGCTGCTGGGTGGTGACTGTCTCTCTGACCTGGGTGTTCCTCCAGGTCTCTTGGTACCTCTGCAGAGACCCCAACTGATGTAGAGCTGCTTCAGTTTCTTGTCTTCGAGTCCTGGAACTGAATCTGGCTTTTCTGAAGGACAGCATAATTGCTTTAAAAAACAAACAAACAAACAAACAAAAACCCAAAAAAACTTCTAAAGATATTTATATGAGCAAACAGCACACATTGACTCATGCTTGGGCAATAACTCTTGCTTAACCATGGTTCTGTTGGGTGGCAGCAGCAATGAGCTGAGAAATGACTGTACCATCTGCACAAATCCTCGCCCTGCGAAGTGTTTGTTCCTCGCAGTTGAGATCCGAGGCTTCATCCCACCCAGTCCTGCTGGCCTCTGCAAAGCCCTGGTTTCTGTGCTGTCTCTGTTCCCCTGCGCTGACGCCCAGCTCGGCTATTTGTGCAGCCTGGCGCCCCCAGCCCAGCCTACCCAAGCACCTAAAGTCTGTGTTTTAAAGCAAGAACCCTTCTCAGCGTGCTCGTGAGAGGACTGTTGTTTTTCAGGTGCTGCGGGGAGATGGTCAGTAGCTGACGGTGCCATTTGGTGGCCACTTGTGAACCAGGGCTCAGGCGTGTGTAATGGGACGTGGGTGCTGCTCAGCCCCACTGCCACGGGTGAGGGGGTGCTGTGGACGGGTGTGCGCTGCCACTGGATGTCACTGTCGCTTTATGGCACTCTGTGCGCTGGGAGGATGGCTGGGGGTGGCGATGGGTCCCTGCGCCGAACATCCGAAGGGTGGTGGGATGGTGCCACGGAGCCGGATGGAGAGCGGCCGCCTGCGCTGCGCAGCCTTCTAGGCAATCCCAAAGAAAATAATTTTTGTGTTGCCAGTGATCATGGTGTTTGACCTTTTTTCTTCCCCCCCCCGACTTCCAGAGCCTCAGCTAGCCCAGAAGACCTATTCCTTTACTCTCTGACTGAGATGCGGGGCCGCTTTCTACAGCTTTTGGCAGTGTATGGGAGACAGCAGATTGACAGGAAAATGATGCTCTGTTCTAGCTCTAAGCTGAGTAGTGGCTCTGGTCTGGTATTTACAGTAAGTCTAACAACAGAGAATTGGGACCAGTGTTTAAATTCAAATGTGGTTGTGGGTTTTTTTAATAATAATAAAAAAAAGCCTAAAAGCCCAAATGTGAGGGAAGGGGACACAGATCCCTAGTTTTAAGACGACTGGTGAACAAGGCTAGCGGAGGGCTGCTCGCTAGCCTCTCTCCTTTAACAAAACTCACAAAATTATCAAATTACCATGCTGACAACCTCAATCGCTTACTAATTACATATTGATTCTGTATTTTTATGCTCACTCATCTAAATAATGAGGCGTTTCCAAATAATCTATTTCTGTTGTGTGGAGCGCGCCGGTCCCCCGTCCCCCCCTGGATCCACAGCCTGTTGTTTATGCTCTAGCAGGGAGCCGACTGCTGTTCCCTTCCCACAAAGGGCAAAGACGCTTATTTTTCTCCCACTTGTCTTGCATAACAAAAGGCATTTATCAACCATTACGTAACGGCAGAATTTGTCACTTCTTCTGCCGGCCTTTTTGGAGGCAGCCTTGTCCCCAGCGCCGCGCAGCCGTAACCGGCAGGCTCTTGCTGGCTGCAGGCTGGTGCACGCTCCTCGGCACACGCCGGAGCATCCCCATAGCGCACGACGCAGCGTGACTAATGCTTGTCACCCACCATTCGTTTTTATTCCTTTTATTTTTTTTCCCCTCCTTGGAAAGGAAGATGTGGAATTGTGTGCTTTGGTTGTGGTTTTTATGTATGGGAGCAAGAGAATGGGAAGGTGTTTGGGGGGGTTATTTGCTTTTTAATACTTGTTCCGAGGTGGCAATGGGGAGCTGCCCTTGGCCGCGTGCCCTGTGGGAGCAGCGGGGCTTGTCCTTAGCTGGGTCATGTCCTGGGCTCAGCGGAGCCCCTGAGAAGGGCCGTGCTGGAAATGGAGCTCAATTCGCCCTCCGCAGCACTCGCGAGTTTAAGGGAGCAAGAACGCCTGTCGCCGCCTGCCTCCTGGAGCTGCCAGTTGCTTTTTTTAATATCTCCCAATTAATCTTGGGTGTCTCATGCCAGCAACAGGAATTTGGTTTGTTGTTTTGGTTTTTTTTCTTTTTTCTTTACAATAACTTTGATTTCCTCATTGTTGGAGTATCTTTTCAGAGCCTTAAAAATAAATAAATCTTTTGCTTCCCTGTAAACTAAAAGCAAAAGCTGCATGGCCAGCTTCCCCCTTTCTCTCTAACTGGAGGAGACAGCTGTTTACCTGCGGCCTCAAACTTATTTATGGCCTTATCACTGCCAGCTATCAGATGACCACAGCTCCCTTTTTAACGAGAAGCAAGCGGTGCTCCAGTAACCCAATGAGGTATCGCCTGCTGCTGTTTTCTAATTTACTCAAAACAATTTCCTAGTTGACTTCCTTTTTTTTTTTTTTTAAATTGTAGATCTGTTTTTAATTTCTTCTTAATAAACTTCTTCAAGTATGTGTTTCTTGTGGACTTTTGAACTTCCTGGTGTACTCAGCCTTTGCTCAGGAGGTATGTTTATGATTGGCTATGAGTGTGCCTAAATGGGTTAACCCTTTGGAGTCGGTGTTCTTGGGAAACTGTTCATTACAGTTCCCTTGTGTAGCTGATGCTCAGGCACAGAAATGAGCTTTGGCAAGCACAGGCTTTACCTGAACTCGTTGCTTATTTCAAAGTTTAACTTTTCTATCATCAGATAAAACTATGGATCAGATGTAGTCTGTAAAGCACAGCTGGAAACATGAGATCAGTGAAGAGCTCTGAAAATTGTAAACTGCAGGGCTGGGGACATCAGCTCAGCTTCCCAGAGCCAGCCAGGGAAAGCTACTGGCTGTTGTGACAGCTCAGGGCCTGCGTTATGGTAGGAACTGGCAATATCTGCAGGATTCATGGCCTTTTGATAAACAGGCTTCTCGGTAGCAGGTTTCTCCTTTGGTATGGATCAACCTATGTAAGCTGCATGGTATAGTTATACGCTTAAAGTTAGCACAGCAGAAACACCTTGTGGGGTATTAACTTTCCTGTTTGCTTACCAGAAACTTATCCATTTGATTGGTCTTGATGTACTTATACAGCTTCTGCAGCTGCTTTGCATCCATCTCTGAGAAGAGGGAGACGAACTGCCAGAACATCCTTGGGAAAAGAAAGACATGCGGATTGTGCATGTAAGTACAAACTTCATCCTCTTCCTCATTCTGCCCCCTAGTTCTGGCGTGGCGAGTGTAACCCTGATATACTCCTTGCACAGCTTTCTCCCCTGCCCCCCCTTTTTTTCTCCCCAAAGCTTATAAACTTCTAAAGAATTGTTCTTCCCTAAGCATGGGAAGGATTATCTGTTAACTCAGGTGCCCGCATAGGAGCTCCTTTACTTGCAAAGGGATGTTGCTGATGGGCAGTACATCAAAATTGGTCTCACGCTGGGCAGGAGTAAGAGCCGCATGGCCTCTGCTAAAATTACCTGCAAAATCTGTGAGCATTCAGCAGTTAGAGCAAGCTATACAAGCCGCCTGTTGACACCCAATCTCCTTGCCACTGCCTGGAAATGTAAGGCCAAAGCAGGTGGCTAAATGCCCGCTGGGAGCAGCAGAGGCAGAGCCCATCTCGCTGGGAGCATCGCCGGTGTGGTACCACCGGAGCCGGGTAAGAGGAGACCCTTACTTCTGCCAGTGCTTGACTTCTGAGGCTCTGCAGTACCGCTGGAGAAACAGATCGATGCGGTCCCCGATGACGGTCAAGCTTTCCTTCGTGTACTTCAGTTTTTTCTCTGTGGGGAGGTGCTGAGGCAAATGCAGTTTCCTAAGTGACTTCTTAAAGGGTCTCAAAAGTTCCTTGCACTGTAAAGAAAACGGGTTGGCATAGGTATTGGAATAGCCCTCTCAATCCAGATCTCAGGCATTCCTTTTCACTACATAAACTGATTAAATACCTGGCTGGGAAAGCACTGAAGGAGCGTTGTGTTTTGGTGAGTGTCTCTGTGTGGACGTGGGGGAGCTGGGTCT